GGGACAGCTACTTCCCTGTGCGCCCAGCCTCCTCTCCTTTCCTGGAATCGTTGGTGGGAGAGAAGATCTGGAGTCTGGGGTGCTTGGCTCCCGCCGGGATTTGGAGCTCTGTGCAGTTCCCAGGCGATCTGCAGGCTCTGGAACACAGGCCGGGAAGCTGGCCTGTTTACCTGATGCTCCCGCCGGGATTGGGAGCTCTGTGCAGTTCCCAGGCAATCTGCAGGCTCTGGAACACAGGCCGGGAAGCTGGCCTGTTTACCTGATGATGCCAGAGGGACAGCTACTTCCCTGTGCGCCCAGCCTCCTCTCCTTTCCTGGAATCGTTGGTGGGAGAGAAGATCTGGAGTCTGGGGTGCTTGGTTCCCGCCGGGATTGGGAGCTCTGTGCAGTTCCCAGGCGATCTGCAGGCTCTGGAACACAGGCCTGGAAGCTGGTCTGTTTACCTGATGCTCCTGCCGGGATTGGGAGCTCTGTGCAGTTCCCAGGCGATCTGCAGGCTCTGGAACACAGGCCGGGAAGCTGGCCTGTTTACCTGATGATGCCAGAGGGACAGCTACTTCCCTGTGCGCCCAGCCTCCTCTCCTTTCCTGGAATCGTTGGTGGGAGAGAAGATCTGGAGTCTGGGGTGCTTGGCTCCCGCCGGGATTGGGAGCTCTGTGCAGTTCCCAGGCGATCTGCAGGCTCTGGAACACAGGCCGGGAAGCTGGCCTGTTTACCTGATGATGCCAGAGGGACCACTACTTCCCTGTGCGCCCAGCCTCCTCTCCTTTCCTCTTGATCTGTTTTTGAATGTGTTTTTACACTATCGTCTTCAAATCCCTTCTTGCAGTGGGTGCTGGTGGAGTTTCTCACTCTCCTGGTTGGTTCAGGTCCAAGGTTCTCTTCTGGTGTGTGCCAGCATGTCCAGTATTCCAATGACTTTAGTCTTCCCTTGGGTGGAGGCAGGACTAGCATTGTGAGATCTGCAGACTCTGGATGGACTGGTTTTTGGGACGGGTTCCCCTGTGCGCAGTCCCAAGGCCACACGAGGGTCTGAGCAGGGCACCTGAAGGATGGCCTGAAACGGGTCCATGCTCACTACCTCCTGTGGGTGGAGGCAGGACTAGCACTGCTAAGTCAGCAGACTCTGGATGGACTGGTTTGCTGGGATGGGTTCCCCCCACATGCAGTTCCCAGATCTTGGCAGAGTCAGAGAAGGGCTCTTGAAACTACTCAAAGTTTTATATGACACCTGATCCTTCATAAATGAGAAACTAAATACAGCCATTATTTTAAAATTTCTTATTATGCATTAATTTTGTACAATGTGTCTTAATTACCATTTCCCCTCTCTCAACTACTTCCAGATACTGTGGAAAACATTTCAGACACAAAAGCTTAAAAATGGACATATATTGAAGAATGATGACATAAATAGTATAGCTTACACTATAGCTCTGTTGTACAACAAAATGAGAAATTGCCCAACTTTGAAGTATGCTATTAGGAATTGGGACTATTCCTAATAAGTAATGGTTGTGCTAGACATTGAGTGATAATGGTCTCTCCTTTGAGAAGTGACAAAGAAGTGGACCATAAAGAACACTTACAGAAATCAGATGGTGACGACCCTAGTTATCATTGTAGAACCTTCATCCAGTTTTTAAAGGAAGCAGATGCAGAAATCCAAAGCCAAAAACTGGGGTGAACTCCAGGAGTCCAGTTGGAGAGAGGAAGGTAAGGGATTATATGAGTGGGTTGTGGATCAAGATCATGATGGGAAATCCCAGAGAGACAGCTGACCTGAGATAATGGGAGCTCATGGATTCTGAATCAACAGCTAGGGAGCCAGCATGGGACTAACCTAGACCCTCCACATCTGGGGGACAGTTGTATAGCTTGGTGTTTTGTGAGGCCTGCAATCGGAGACTTCTTTCCCACCTACCAGTTCCCAAATAACCACTCAGAGGCTTAATATTACTTATAAATGCTTGGCCAATGACTCAGGCGTATTACTAGCTAGCTCTTACAACTTGAATTAACCCATTCTATTCATCTATATTTTGCCATGTGGCTGTGGCATTATGAGTCTTCTGGGAAGTTGCTTGTAGGGTAGCTGTTAGTATCTCTCCGACTCTACCCTTCTCCTGTATCTCTTCTTGGATTTCCCACTTGCTTTATCCTGCTTTATTTATCAACCAATGAATGCAACACATATTCACAGCATACAGAAAGACATTCCCCATTAGGGGCCCCTAGCAGTGGGACCAGGACCTGTCTTTGATACATTTAGAGCCGGTTTCCTATGGTGAGACGCCTTGTTGCAGGGAAGGTGAGAAGAGCTTGATCCTGCCTCAACTTGATATGCCATGCTTTGTTGACCTCCATGAGAGGCCTTACCAATTTAGAATGGAGATAGAGGAATGATGTGAGGCATAGAAGAGTGGGAGGGGTGGTAACAGGAGGTGAAGAGGAGGGTAACTGTGGTTGGTATGTAATATAAATAAATAAATTTAAAAGATGACAATGCATGGTAGCAACTACAATAATATCACAGATGCAGAGTGTGGCAGTAGCTGGACTTGGGGAGCCCCCTGCAGAAAGAACCACAGGGCTATGTCTGGTGGCCTTTCCATGTCAGCTACACAGCATCTCATTTTCCTAAGGACTCAAGAGAGTTTCAGTCTTATTAAAGGAGGTGGTAGATGCCAATTGCCAAGGCTGCTGTTTAGGCTAATCTACCTGGTCCACATGGGGAAAATACAAGACATCACTAAAGGACAAAACTGGCCATGATTGGAAATCTGAAATATCTGATGATGCAAGAAGAGAGCAAGTGTGGGTGATGTTTTGGAAGTTTTCACTATAGGCTTCAATGACTATTTGGATGATAGAGGTAAGATGTACTCATTTGATTCATGGAACAGGAATTTACCAGGAGTCTATTGTAGGAACAATATTGAAGAGTATTACAATACATCATGGTACTCATGGGAAATGCAGTGATCATTGCTTTGGCTAACTGTAGAATGCAGATTTATAGCCCAATGTATTTTTTTCTGAGATCTGTCTGGCTACCATGGAAATCATCTGCATCTCCTCTGTGCTGAACAAGGTTCTGGTTAGTTTAATTTCTGAGCAAAACACCATCTATTTCCAGGGATACATAGATCACTTCTTTTTCCATGTGTGGTTCATACTTTCTGAGCTGTTGCTTCTCATATTCATGCCCTACACCATTCAGTCATTTGCTTTCCTCTGCATTACAGCTCTAGGATAAAAGGACACATCTGTGCCCTAATTATCCCATTAATGCCGACTTGATGACATGGATGACATGGCTATCATACTGTGGATAGAAGGACAGACACTGGGATGACACTTCCCAGTTCCCACTGGTCTCCTGCAGCACCTCAAGTGTGGGAAATACCATGACTCTGATGGCTGATGACTTTTCCAGGGGTATTAACTTACTGCCTTCTTGCTGTCTAATGGCTTTATCATAAGTGGCATGTAGCACCTGTGATCAGCTGAGGGGAAGCAGAAGGCCTTCACCTACTCATACCATTTGTCCTAGTTAATTTTTCTATTGCTTTGAAGATACACCGTGGTCATCGCAACTCTTATGAGGAAAATGTTTCAGTGGGGTGGCTTGCTTACAGTTTCAGAGGTGGAGCTCATTATTATCATGGTGGGGCCCATGACAGACATGATGCTGGCTACATCTTGATCAGAAGGCAACAGAAAGTCGACTGAAACACTGGGAAGTATCCTGAACATAGGAAAGCTCAAGCCAACACTCACAGTTACATACTTCCTTCAGCAAGTTCATACCTCCTGCAACAAAGCCACACCCCTAATAGTGCCATTTCCTTATGAGATTATCGGGGACTATTACATTCAAACTACCATGTCACCTTATTGTGCTCTGCATTATCATCCAAGTTCTGTGTCTGCTTCCAACTACAATCCAGAGAGAAGTTAGTGCTGTGGTGATGTACTAGGTCCTGAGCTACACAAAGAACTCCTTCACCATTCTTGTTATTGTCAAGGATGCTCTGAAGAGGCTCTTGCATTAGTTGGAAATATACATGCTGTTCTGAAAGTGTAAGCCTATCTCCCACCTACCTTGTTAAAAGTATCTCCCTGGTTTGTGCCTTGGCTATGGCCATTATAGAAAATTGCCTTTAAATTCAGAATGTGCACATGTCCTTCTTTGTCTGCGTTGATAGTTTTGATTAGTCCATACTTTCCTAGGCACAACAACAACAACAAAAAAGCTTAATCCATATAATCGCTATCACAAGTCCAGGCTTGTGCTCCTCTTTCAAATAGAAAGTCATGTTGCCTTCCAAAGGGACACACGAGAGCCTTGCCTGTCTGATGTACATTCTTGCATATCAGTTACTACTGCCTGTATGTGTGCATCACTATGTCAATATGAACACTGGTAAATGTGTGGTCTGTTGTCCCTGTTTTCTCCCTAAGTTACATGTGGTTAAACTTTGTTCTTCAGCTTCCCACATGTTACACCTCAGTCTTCCTTTGCTAGTCAAAAGTGGCACACCACTATAGAATCCTTGAGTGCAGATCCTTGTAGCAGTATAAGGTGTAGAGGAAATGCTTCCTGACCTTGTAGCAGCTGGGAACACATGAATTTAAACTGGTTTCTCCTTTCCCCTGTCCCATGATTGCTTTTACCCCAGGCGCATGGAGTTTAATCCACATTGAAGATGGGACACAGCTGCTCAGTGAATCCTCTTTTGAAACAGTTTAAAGATAATCATGGAAGTGTCTCTCAGCAATACTTTTGGAGATCAATCTAGCCAAATGACAACGAATATATTAACCATCACAACCACGAGTCATTGTAATAGTCCTGTGTTACCTGCTATTTTTCTCCATACTGCCTACCTCATCTGTTTACCTTTTTTACCATCTGTTCTGTATTAGTCACATGACGCAATGTAAGGTATAGAGTCTGTGAATGGTTCAGTGTATACATACTCATAGCAAATGAATGCATCTGATAAGCTCTTTATTTCTGAGTTCCTATGACAGTGGGTAGAGCTCCTTAACATACAATATGCAGTGTTAAATAATAGCAACTCTTGAAGGATGGTCAGGTTTCACAAAACTCATCCAGGCAGGAGAGATGTTGAGGTACAAGTTATAGTCAGGATTTAGCAAACCGCTGCAATGACATATGGTCTGAGATTTAACTAGATGTGATTCAGTGAGTCATAGAAACATCTTAACATTGAATAGCATTGAACATGTAAGCATACAATTCTATGTATAAAGCAGAAATGGTTAAAATTATCTAAAACATTCAAAAGAGTAGAACTCCAATATTTTCTGATAGATAGTATGATTTTTCTTGACTCAGGTCATGACTTAGCCTGTGTCACCTAGAATCAGGGTATACATAAAAGAAGGTCTTGAGTTCTACTTAGCTCCTTTCCCACTGCTTCTAGAGTTCTTCTCCAACTCAATGTCATCAATGAGGAAATAAAAGTTTTTTAAAGGATGTTTTGAATTCCTTATTTCTCAAGGTATAGATCAGGGGGTTCAGAGAGGGGGTCACAGTGGTGTACAAAACAGCAATGGCCTTGTCCAGGAGCCCAGCAGTTCCTAGGGCTGGTCGGATATACGTATATAGCACAGTGGAATAATAAAAGGTGACCACAATCAGGTGGGCAGAGCACGTGGAGAAGGCACGCCTCTTGCCCTCAGCTGAACGGATGCGCAGGATACTGGCAAAGATGAAGCCATAGGATGTCATGGTCAATAGGAAGTTCAGGCCAGTTAGAAACATGTCTGTAATGACAGTCATGATGTCGTTGATAAAGGTGGGACTACAGGACAGCATGAGCACAGAAGGGATCTCACAGAAGAAATGTGTGATGAGATTGGGACCACAGAAGGACAGCGGTAACACCAGACAAGTGAGCACCAAGGAATTGAGAGCCCCTGTGAACCACACAAAGGTTGCAAGGGCCACACAGGCCCTGCCATTCATGAGGGTTCCATAATGCAATGGCCGGCAGATTGCAAGGTAGCGGTCATAGGCCATGGCAGAGAAAAGCATAAGCTCAGAGCCCAGGACCCAGGAGAAGACAAACATCTGTGTGAGGCATCCCCCATAAGATATGGTGTTCTCTGTCACCAGGCTCTGCAGGACCTTGGGCAAGACAGTCACAGTGCAGATCACATCCATCAAGGCAAGGTTAACTAGGAAGAAATACATGGGAGTGTGGAGGTTGGGACTTCTGTGAATAGTTGTGATAATCAGGCCATTGCCAGCTATGGCCAATGTCAACAAGGTAAAGAAGAAGCAGAAGAGGGCATCCTGGACCCGGGGGTCATCCACGAAGTTTTGCAGGATGAACATGGTCACAACTGACTGGTTCTCAGGAACCATGGCTAACACTGTCTATGCTCAGGATGGGAGTTGTAGCTTGGGCCTCTGGCAAAATAAAAGTGAGCTTTATTATGATTAACTAAAAATAATTTTAAATCACTTACCAATCCATTCTGTGTAGCGAGGAACCTGCTCCCATGCTAAAGTAATAGCAGGCCTAGGACACACCCCACATTGGCTTTGTCTGTGAACATGGTTGGCCCCTGAATGCAAGGTCCCTGAACATATTGTTCCATATGTGCTGCGCCTCATTCCACAAGGAAGGAGAGATGGTCATCCTTGTGAGAACCACCCAGGACACAGTGACTGGAGACTGTGGTATAGATGCTGGGAAGACATGATTAGTCATCAGTGGGGCCATGGAAGGGTGTATGGCGAGTGGTACTGCCTGCTTGTCTGAGAGTTTGGGGAATATCAGACAGAACATTAATTGAACCCGGACTCTCTGGAGACAGAACCAATGTGATCTTTGACAATGTGGCTTCTCATGCAGGTGACAACAATGGTCCTAAAATTTCCTGCCTTGTACCTCTAGTCCACTAGGACCTGAAGCTTGGCAATAGCATTAAAAACTCATACCCAACTAAAGGAGGAAAATAGAGTCTCCTGGGGATCTTATGGTGTCTCTCAAACCCTTGAGCCAGGAACTCAGATGGTCCCACACCCAGCTCCTCCAAGGCTGCTCAAAGAGCCATCTAAGGTCACCAAACAATCCCTGTAGGAGTCCACATTGCCAGTCACTGTCCAGATGGAACAGACAGACCCTGAATGTTGAGAAAGCAGGACTGTGTTGAGAAAATATGGAGGTGTGACAACCCTGATTGGGGCCTGCTGGACTAATGTATGCCTTGGTCGCTTTCTACTACCAGACTCTACCAGCAAGGATGTAGTGAAGGATGAGTCCCTGAGTGTGAGTTACAAATCAGATTTAAGGACAGGCTGACAGTGACAAGTAACAGGGCCTTCCATTGTGGTCTGTTATGTGACAACTACCCAGTATGACAGGCTGCCCTCACCCAACCATCCAAATCTAGCGTGAAAAATACATTTCAGGTTTCACAGTAGAGAATTTCACATGTTTTCAGAGAAAGTAGCTCTGGCCATTCATTTACCGGTGCTCCCCACATACTCTGCGCCACTCCCAGTGCTCTGTCTCACAGTGCTTCAGAGGGCTTTGCAGGGAAGAGGGGTGTGGGTGGGTGACTATGCTGTGCTGGCTCTGGTGCCTTTCTAAAACCAGCAAATCAAGCTCATTGTGATGGTGGCACAGTGTGGGCTGGAAGGCCTGGGAATCTTCTCATAGCGTCAATCTTCATTCTTTGTTTTCACAGGACCTCAGACCAGGCTGCACACAAGTAGCCCTCCTGTTTCACAAAGAACTCCAGTAGTCATGGGGAAGTGGCTGCAGTGTGTGCATGGTGTCCCTGAACACTATGAGTAGTATATTCAGCTGCCAGGGTTAGCAGGTGAAATACAGGAAGCTAAGTTAAGCAAGAGCACACTTTCAAAAACATGTCTCAAATCTTACCCTGGAAATCCCATTTCTAAATGGTATTTGTTTTAAAATGCAATTTAATCTGGACTTCATCTACTTTTTTTTAACCAATGATGACCATGTGCATCCACTCATCCCTTACCTTCTGTGTATTTGAGGCGAGCAGCAATTGAGGATGCCTCTGGGTCAGCATTCACATATCTGAGAGATGAGCCACCATGTCAAACCACATGAGACTGTGCTCCCTGTCCCACACTTACCTTTAGTATATGCCCTATAGTTTCACTCACAGATGAGGCAGGAACAGCTTGCTGTCTGTTTTGTCTAGGCAACCTGACAAGATAAGAAACGAGTGAGTTTCAGGGTTATTCCTCCTCCTTGGGAAAGTGTAGTGACCTCTGCTGGTTATCCCTATTGGGTCAATGACAAAATGTCCATTGTTCACCGGTGCCCCAGAGAGCTAAGTAGTTGATATAGGAACTCCTGCTGGATTGTACCCCCAAACTCCCCCAATCTCCCTCTGTCACTTTCTACTTTCTATTTGAGGAATTTATACCTACTTCCTCCAAAATTGCAACTAGCATGTTTCTACCATGCTGTTGTGTAGCTGTGAGCCAGGCACATGAAATCTACCTGCGAAGAAAATATCTCTGTTTCCAAAAGTCTGGAAAAGTCAAACAATTGTGACACCTACCTGTAGGTCCACAGGCATGGTGCTGGGTATCCAACAAAGTATGTGAAAAGGAACCTGGAGGCATGGGAGAAACAGAGAGAGAGAGAGAGAGAGAGAGAGAGAGAGAGAGAGAGAGAGAGAGAGAGAGAGCAATTGTACTATAACCCAATTCTCCAACCCTCTATCTCCATTCATTTCTCTGTGATAGCTCCTGGAACTGTTGATTTCATCGGTGGATATTAGAAACATCCATAAGAACACATTTATGTTCTTCTCACATCAGAGATTCTATGGCTCTAACCCCACCTCTATAAATGATCTCTTGATGGAACACCAGGGTCATAGCTCACTTAAGAAGCAAAATGAGTCCCTAAGAGTTTGACATAGGGTTGGTGACTCCTACCCAGAGAGATGCATCTGAACCCTATAAGAGAGAGTCATCTAGGTCATATCCTTACCACATCATTTGGGCTTCACAAGCCTTTGTCTGGAGGAGTACAGAGGTGTCTGTCACCTTCAGGTAATCATGGCTTTAATCTAGATAACTTTGGCTGTGTGATGCAACCCAATGCAGCTATAGCCCCATGGGAGTCCTACCCCAGGGCCCTGGCTGAGGTGACCTGGCAACTGCCTGTGAAGTCACAGTGGAAAGTGGAGGTGGAGAGGACTTGGCCCCAAGGGCAGATGGAAAAGGCACAGGCTCTGCTTACTGTAATGGGAGCTCAGGTGCTTTCCCAGATGGAGTTTATACTTCACTCCAATCTCAGTTGAAAACACAGCATGGAAGACTCAGGGTCAGATGGTCACTGGCTTAAGCTCACCAGGAAAAGTTCTCAGCTTTCTCCAACTTTATGGGCCAACACTACCTGCATTTGAGGCTTTGATGACCAAGTTTGTGAGGGAAAGGAACAGCCTACTCATTGTACCCTGACCTTAGCAGACAGAGGTTGAGTGTGAATGTGAGCCTGAACAGATAGGAGTCCAAGATACCAGGGTGTTCTGTTGCATGCCTCAGGCCCCCAGGAGCCTAGGGGAGTTGTAGACACATCAGATGTTGCTATGAAAGCCTAACTCCTCAAAAAAGGGCTAGCCGTGTGCCCTCAAATGGATTTACTTCCCCAGTGTATGTTCTCACATTTTCTTCCCAAGACAAAGGTTTTGGGATGTCAGATGTCTTCAGTTTCAGCAGATACAGAAACAGAATATAGCTGGAAATGCATCCTTAGTTTTGCTTTTATTTAAAATCCAGAAACAGTGTAACATTTTAATTTGATTTTAAAGTCTTTACTCATTCATATTTATAACACACACACACACACACACACACACACACACACAGGCTTCAGGACAAATTTCCCATTTTAATTCGTTTGTATTTCCTCCTGTTTCTGTGTTGCCCAACCATTATCATAGTCTAAAATTCTCATCAGCATCAGCATTGTGGGAGTATTCTAGACTTATAGAGGAGCTGACAAAGTACTAAATACATTCCTTTTCTAGCCTTTTTGCATTCCTTTGTGTCTGCCCCAGGTACTTATAAAGAGCCTCTGTCTGGGACCCCCTGTGGCCACACCAGGCTGTGGCTGAGGTTGGTTTTCCTCACTTTTATTTCTGCCTCCCATTCCACACTCTCCAGCCTCATCCCCGGCCCTATAGCAGACTGACTGAAGCGGCCTGTCCTCCCATTCCACATCTAACCCTGGGGGACTCCACCAAACGTTGGCAAGGACCCAGTTGTTCTGCCTATAGACCCTTTCACCCCCTTTCCTCTGCACCTGGCCCATCCCCATTCCTTCCTTTGAAGCCCTAATACCCAGAAATGCCTTCTACTGGACCCCATTGTGCTACCCGGTAGGGATTCTGGTAGGTGAATCACACAATCTTTCCTGCCATCCATTATGGTTTTTCCCTTCTTACCCACACCTCATAACAGCCTGCTTAGAGGACTCCTTACTCCCTCTTTAACTACGTTCACTAGAGATGCTAACTCTTGGTTCAGACCTATGGTCCCCTAATATTGTCATCTCTGTCTTTCCAGATAATTCTTTGGTTTACATTAGTGTGCTCCCAGGATCCCCTCTTTCTAGCACACTTCCAGCTCCATGGGGACCCCAATCGTAGGTGTGAACAGGATCCCTTTAGCTATGAAGCCACATTCAGCCTTTTCTCCTTGCCCACATTTATCCAACTCTGCCATGCATTTACATCCACAAGCACTCCCTACTGGGCTACCCACAGCCACCTACTTTGGTAAGATCCAGAGAGGACAACAGAATCCAAGGAACAGAACACCCACCAACAAAGACAAGACCCGATATCAACACCTTTCACCTCAGTTATCTCATTCCAGATTCCTAGACACCAATATGATAACATAAATACTAAAAGTCAAGACAGGATATTTTCCCAAGAATTCAGCAACCTAACTACAGTTAACCCCAAGATACATAACATAGTTGAAATACAAAATGGACTTCAAAACAATTATGAATATGTCCAAGGACCTTAAATAGTATGTGAGCAAGTTCTTTAATGGAATCTGAAAACAAATAGTGGAGTGAACATAATGAGAACAACTCATGACATGAAAGAAGAATTTAACAGAACAAAGCAAACAAACAGAATCACCAAGGAAAACCTAAACTGAGATAAAACTGGAAATAAAAAGTCTAGGTAGAGCAACATAAAAACCTCAAAGGTAAGCCTCACCAACAGAGTACTAGATGTGGAAGAGAGAATCTCAAAAGTTGAAGATAAGTACAAGAATGGATACTACAGTCAATCAAATGTTAAATCTAAAAAATTCCTGTCACAAAACATCCAGAAAATCTGGGACACTATGATAAGACTAAATATATGAATACTAGGGATAGAAGAACAAGATAAAACTTAGGAAAGATTAAGGGAAAAGATTTTCAACAAAAACATAGAAGAACTTTTCCTTAACCTAAAGAAAGAGGTGCCTTTCAATGTACAATAAGCATACAGAACACCAAATAGATAGGAACAGAAAAAATCTCCATGGCACATAACAATCAGACACTAAATGTACAGAACAAAGGAAGAATGTTAAAAGCTGTATTGATACATTATTTATGATTTATTAGAGTTTTCCTAAGTATTCAAAAAGCAAAGTCAGCCACAAGCTACAGAGATCAGGCCATGGTGATACACACATTTAATCTCAGGATTCAGGAAACAGATAGATCTCTCTGAGTTCAAGGCCACCCTGGCCTACACAAGAGTGAAAAGCAACACAGCTCACACCTTTAGGATTGCATGACTTTATTCCCAGCACTAGAGAGGTGGAGACAGAAGTGATATGGCTGGGAAGAGAAAGGAATATAAGGAGGAGGAGACAGGAACTGAGATCCTTCATCTCTGAGGATTCAGGAAGACAGAACAGCCTTTTCAACCTGAGGTAGAGGTAAGAGATAGTGGCTGGCATTGGTGGCACACCCCTTTAATCCCAGCACTAGGGAGGCAGAGGCAGGCGGATCTCTGTGAGTTCGAGGTCAGCCTGGTCTACAAAGTGAGTTCCAGGACAGTCTCCAAAACAATACAGAGAAACCTTGTCTCGAAAAAAACCAAAAAAAAAACAAAAAGTGATAGTGCCTGGATACTTTGCTTCTCTGAGCTTTAGCTTGAAGCTTGAACACCAGTTTCTGACTCTGGGTTTTCCTTTTTGTGTTACAAAAAGCTGCAAAGGGGAAAGAGTAAGTAACATATATAGGCAGGCCCGTTAGAATAATACTTGACTTCTTCTTGTTCTTGTTGTAGCTGTTTTCCATTTCCTAACTTCTTAATAGAGCCTGTAAAGACCAAATAGGGCTTGAACAGATGTTCACCAAACTCTGAGAGACCACTTATACTCATCCAGATTACTATGCCCATCAAAAGTATCAGTCATCATAAATAGATGAAGAAAAACTAAGTGATAACACTAAATTTAAGCAGCATCTATCAACAAATACAGCTCTGTAGAAGGCACTTAAAGAAAGACTTCAATCTGAATAGGTTAACCACACCCAAGAAAACACAGGAACAAGAAATTCGATATCAACAAATCAAAAAAGGCAGAAAAACCCATACCATAACAACAAATTATCAGGAATTAATTGATGGGGGATGTTCTGTGTATATTTTTGAAGAGCCCCAACAGTTGGAAAATTATTAGCTGTCCCCGGGGTGAGCAGCTGCACGTAAGGATAAACATCCTCCCCTGGTAGTCCTCAAGGACTTGGAAATATTTCCCAGACCCAGACCTCAGTCCTCAAGGACTTGGAAACATTCCCCAGATCTCAAGGTTACAGGAAAAGGCCGGTGGCCACAAAGTTCAGCCAGGGCACAGCCGTTGCCTAAGACAGATAACGAACCAGTCAGCCACAAGGGTATGATTGCATGAAGGTCTGGCACCGATTACCAAACTCCCCTTGTATCCCCACCACCCTGTTTGCACTTTTAGGCTTTAAAAACTCGCTGTAGTTTCTGCTTGGGGTTCAATCCTTCCCGAAGGCTGCTGAACCCCAGTGGGCTGGCTTAATAAAAATCCTATGGCGTTTTGGAACGAACTTCGGCTCCTTGGTGGTCTTTGGGGCAAGAGTCCCTAGAGGAAGATTGAAGGGTCTTTCACTTGGGGGGCTCTTTCGGGATTGCCCTGCGCCCCCAGACCCTGGGACCCCCGAGTTCGGAGGAACCTCCTCAAGCACTCGAAGAACGCCTTCAACTCTTCTCTCTGCTTTTGCTTTCAGTTCAGTGAGTTGTTGTGCTGGGATTGGGAAACGATTGTGCTTTCTGAATCTTTGTATAAGTCAGTATCCCCAAGTAGTACGGAGAAATCAGTTTTCATCCTGGGGGACGCCCCAGTGAAGTTTTAGGAGGAGGCAGTTCTACTGCCCCTCCCGTCAGTTCCTGTAGCGGGCCCTGTTCTGGGAAAGACTCGCTGAGGCCGTTGTATTCTTGTCTCTTTTGTTCTTGTTTGTACGTTGTTTGTGAGTCTCTCTCTGTATTTCCTTGACCCCCCCAACTGGTAATATAGGACAGACTGTGACGACCCCCCCCCACGCTGACTCTTGACCACTGGTCCAAAGTAAGGACTAGAGCTTATGATCATCAGTAGGTATCAGAAAAAGAAAATGGCAGACTCTTTTGCACTTCAGAATGGCCAACGTTTCTGGTAGGATGCCCCCTGAGGGTTTTTTCAGTTTAGAGAAGATTAGAGCAGTAAGAGAAAAAGAAGACTTTAGTTCCCGGACCCCATGGGCATCTTATCAAGTCCCTCACATTCTGGCTTGGAGAACTTGGTCTGCCCTTTGCTTCCATCCCCTACACCAGGATTACCCCCAGGGGTCTTCGCCTTGAAGGTGGAGGCAGAGGCGACAGGCAAGAAGGATAAAAAGACTGAGCCAAGAAGGTCTACCCCACCGTCTCCTCGGACCTCCTCCTCCTGGATCCCCCTCTCTTATCCCCTATACTTCCACCCCAACCGGCCGGGTTCTGCCGCCTGCCCTCCCTTTGGCACCCCCTGGCGGACATGAAGTGGAGGCAGCCCGGAAGGGCAGTGAGCCTCGGATAATAAAAGGATA